GTTATATTTAGCTTGTCCATATTTCTCCTTCAGGTTTATTCCTTTCGGTGTAAAAAAGATGTCAACTTTACAATTTTTTTATTTAAAGATATTAATTTTATTAATTTCTAAATAAGAATACCAAATCTCAATATTTTTTATTTAAGGATGTTAACTTTCAACTTTTTCTATTTAAGGATATCAACTTTAAATTTTTTCTATGTAATGATTAATTGGATAATGATGTCAATATGACAAATGAATTTTTTAACCTAAATGTTGAAAGTTTGTATCTTTAAATAGAAAAAATTAAAAAATAATATCTTTAAATAAAAAATATTGAAAATTGACATTTTTATTTAAAAATTGACAAAGTTAATACATTTAAATGAAAAAATTATAAAGTTAACATCTTTTTTGGCACATTTGCTCTTCCTTTCTCTCTTAAGTATAATAAAAGGAGAAAGAGAAAATCAAAATGTTTTGATATTAAAATTATTATAATGTTTAATAATAATTATATAATAAATTTAATAAAATTAAAATTTATGTTATATTTTATATATTTAATAATTATAATTAAATATTTTAAATTAAAAAATAATAAAATATTTTAATTTTTTTATTAAAAATTAAAAATATTTTACCATTAACAAATTTAACAGTAATATAGTTGAAAAAGAGTTTCCTGAAATGAAAGTTAACAGCTGTGGTTAATTTCGGTGATACGATAATGATGATGACTATTTGTGATAGGCTATATATTACTATGTTGAGTAAGAAAAAGGATTTGCTAAATCAAATGTCATTCCCATTTTCATGATGCATTAAACTTGTAATCATTATACTTTACTCTTTGTAATCCAATAACTAATACAATTAAAAAAGTACATATTCCCCTCTCTTCTCTTGACCGGGTTTCGAACCCACCCATAACAAAAAGTTCAAAAAAAAAAAAAACTTGTAATCATTATTTGCACCAGGTTTTATATTTCGTAATTTGTTAGGCACAATTAATATTTTAATAATAATTAAAATTTAAAATATAATATTATTGTATTAAAATTTTTTATTTTCTTACCCTAAATTGCATCGGTAAAAAAAAAAAAAGACTTGTAATCATTATTTATTTATTTTACTATTATTTAGGTTAACGGAATATTTATTTGCTGTTCAGATGATGGAAGTCAGCAGACAACCCATTATTATTAAATAATGATGTGATTATATTGACACTCAAGGCAAGGAATCCAATACTAACAAGACAAATATCTATGGATTATACAATAAGCTAATCAAGACAATAAGATTTTCCAAAGCAAAATATACATATTAGATCAATTTAAAAATGTTAGATTGTAATTATAATTGTAAATTTTTAATTTTTTAATATTTTAAAACTATATTTTAATACATCTAATTTTTATTTTAATTAATATTTTATATATTTTTAAAGTAATAATAAAATACAATAATCAAAATTAAAGCATTAATAAGCATTATTAAACAAAGCTTAAAAGTGCATCTTAATGTACCCACAGCTTTGGTTGCATTGGTCTGAATGCACTAAACTCTTGATAAATATCAGAGTTCTAACTACTGCACTAACAGTTTTCCTATTCTCTTTTTCCTCAATTCCCCTTGTTAAAAAAAAACAAAAAAAGTGCATCTTAACTAAACCAGTTTTCTTATCCAATTCATTAGCAAACTTGGTTTTTTTATTTTGAAGCGTAATCAAAAAAATAATGTGATATGGAACGAGGAGAATTTAAATACAAATAAAATATAAGATTTGAACCTTTTTATTATCCTTTCAATACGATCAATGGCTGATAATTTATATGAATAGTGATTTATTTAGTATTTATAGATATAAAACAATTTACAAACACCTTCAAATAGAAAGTCTCAATTCCTATATTTATAAAACAATTTACAATTTTAGTATTTAGTATACTATAAATAAAATTATCAAAGTTATGACCCACAAGATATGATATTCACATGTGCTATATAATTATCTTATCTACATTTATGATGAATGGCTTGGATTCTGGGTAAGCAGGCATCTGAAGTCATGGTTGCATATATTTTGGGTATCTACAAAAATAATGAAAAAAATCTTCAAAGAAACCACTGGCGTTGAGTTAGATTCCTTTCATAAATTTTTAAACCTCTCCTCACTGGCCTTTCTATTTTTTTAAAAACAATATTTTTAAATTAAGAAAGGAATTTATGTAATACAATTTAAATTGTACATAAAAATATAATTTGTTTTATAAATTTATTAAAATGTTTTTAATAAAATAATATAAAAAATAATTTTATGATGATTATTTTAATAAATTTATAAAAAAAATTATATCGTTAATATATAGTTAATATATAATGCATCAATAAAATAAATTTTTATTAAAAAAATATACTCAAATCAATCAAGACAACATCTGATCCTTCGAGTTAACTGACACTCAATCAACTTAAAATGCATTCTTTTTTTTCCTGTGGACGAAGTTCGAACCGACGCTTAACAACTTGTTTAAAAAAAAAAAAAATCAATCAAGACACAAATCCTAGCTGCAGTGAATTGACATATTAGAGACGACAGGGTACAGCTAGCATATTTCATGTCCAGAACTGGACTTAAGTTTGCAGAGGTGAAATTGAGGCGTCACATGTTCACAAACCGACCGTGCAGAGGTGACAATGACTCAACCTTGGCCAAATAAATCATCAAGTTGTTTGTACATACGGTTTGGGTCCGGAGAACAGGAAATATCATAGTTTTAAGCGGTTTGTATACTTAATGGATGATTCAATAATT